GGAAGCTGCCATGGCCGCCGAGGACGGTGGCAGATGACCTCGCATCCCGGGGAAGGTCAGGGCAGGACCAGAGGCCCCAGGAGACAGGCTGCAGTGAGTGGCAGCTTCTGTCGCATCTGCCATAGCTGGCTCCCCTGGGACCTGGGAAAGCCCCACTTCTGACCCTCCTCGGCCCCCCTCCACCTTCCTGTGGGCCAAGGCAGCGGTCAGACAATAAGCGCCAGCCCCGGATGGGTGGCTGGGGCGGGAAGGGTCCCACTTCCCCAGCCGTGACTTGTAAGGAGGCTGTTTCCTTGTTTCCTGCTGGCAGCATCTGCGGCCCCGGGCTCGGTGATGGGAGAAACAGCTGCTGGGGACACCCCAACCGGTGTCTGGCCGGGAAGTCTGGCTCACCGTCAGCCAGCAGGACGAGGAGGGGCAAGGCAGTGGACAAGAAAGGGAAGGACGATGTGGGGGACCCTGAGGGAGGCGGGGACCTGGTGCCCAGAAACTACCCAGGCTGAACAGGCCCCCGAGGTGCTTCCACCTGAAGAGGAGCCTGGGTCAGAACCAAGTGGACAGGAAGCGGCCTTGTCTTATCAAGACCACTTGCAGATCACGGCAGGGCAGCCACGACAGGCTGTGACTGGAGCTCGAAGGCCTGGAGTTGGGGTCCTGCCTCTGCCACTGGCCTGCTGTGTGACCTTCGGCACATCACGCACCTCTGTGGGTCTCGGTTTTCCCATCTCTAAAATGGGGTTGACGACAGTACCTACCTCGCAGGTTGTTGTGAGGATCAAATGAGTTCATACGGATAAAGTACTCACGATCTTGGCCAGCACCCTCCTCCTCCATTACCGCCACCTTGTCCTGTCCACCCTCTCCTCCCGCCTGGACTTCACAGCAGCCTCCCCACGGGTCTGCCTGCCGTGGCCCCTCATGATCTAGTCCCCACGTGGCAGCCTGAGCAATCTTTATAAAAGGGAAACCAGATGTTGTTCACAGCGCTGCGATGACTCCCCAGTCACACAGAATGAAATCGCCAGTCCTCACTCAGCCCCTGCTGTAGCTGCCACATCCTCCCCGCCAACCCGCCTCATGGCCCACTCTGCCACGCTGGCCTCCTGGATGGTACTTGACCATCCAAGCTCATGCGGACCTCAGGGCCTTTGCACTTTCCGTACCCACTACCTGTTCTATTCTTTCCACCTCCTTTCTAGGCCTGGCTCACTCTTTCTCATCAGTCAGATGTCTCCTTCCCCAGAAGGCCCTCGCTGGCCCCCCAGGCTGGGTCAGGCGCCTCCTCTGGATTCCTACAGCCCGCGCCTCCCCCATCCCAGCCAGGAGCCCTCTGCTTGTGCTTCCCCATGCTGGCCCTGACCGCTCTGGGCTGTCACCATCTGGGGACGGGTCTGTCTCCTTCAGTGGACTATAATCCACGAGGGCGGGGCCAGGGCTGCGTTGGTTGCCCCTGGGACCACTGGTCAGACACACAAGTGTGACAAGGCCTTGCTTGTCCCTTCCCAAACTTCCTCTCCCTCCCCGCCCCCTCCTGAGGAGGCTCGAGTCAGTGTAGTTTCCTTTCCCAACTGTCAGCCCTGGGAGATGACCCCCAAGGAGAGCTGGGTCAAAGCTGCCGTCCCCGTCTCAGGTGCCCTAGAGGGCAAAGGTCGAAGCGTCCCCAGCCTGCCTCCTCCTCTGGGTGTGGGGGCTTGGCGGGTGTCAGGCCCCAGCTAAGCCCATCCCATGAACCATCTCCCCACCGTGCCCCACCAGCCTGGGGGGCCACACACCTACCACCTCACGGCTGAGGAAATCGTTTCAGCAGGGGCCACACATCTGCCCAGAGCAGGATGTGGGGCGAAGGGCACCCGCAAGTCCCGCAGGAAAGCCATTAGGACAACCGCTCAGGAGAGCAACTGGGAAGGTCCAGCATGTCCACTGCAAGGCATATGTCCCAGAGAGACTCTGCCAGAGCACACACGGAAACATATTCTAGAATGTTCATTGCAGCACTGTTCGTTCCAGTCCCAATGGGAAACCACCTAAATGGCCACCAAAAGGTGAATGGATAACTGCTGTGTGGCACAATCACAGGAGGGAAACGACTGACCTGCCCCAGACCTATACACATCCACACGGAGAAATACCCAAACTCCAAAGTTGAGCAGAAAAGGCAACTTTTTTCTTTACTGTGATCCCATTTACGTGATCTGTAAAACTGTACAACAGTGCTGCTCAGCCTGGCCGGCCATTAGAACCACCTACTGATGCGGGCCCCGCCCCGGACCAAGTGAAGCCAAGTCAAGATTCTCTATGCCGGGCGCAGGCGACAATATCTCTGCAAGCTCTCCAGCTGACTGCGAGGGGCAGCGATGTGCGGCCAGGACCGAGAGCGACTGCTCTATCGTCTGAATACGTTGAAGGACAGCAAAAGTATGCAAACCTGCGGAGGAACGCTGGACACCAAACCCTGCCAGTGGCCCCCGCTGGCGGGGGCGGGGGGCGAGGGGGGCCCTTAGCTGGATCTACTGTGTGTTCCGTCCCAGGCCCGACGCTGGAGGCGTGGGTGTGTGTGACATTGAAAGCTCTACTTTTGTCACTCGTCTAAAATGTATCATCAGGAACAAAGTTGGCAAATGAGAAATGCAGCCCAAGGTTGCACGGCTGGTAAGTGACGGGGCAGGAACCTGAATGTGGGCCTCCCGTGACAAAGCCCTCTTCCCCCTTATCTGTGCCCGGCCCCGAGATGCTCGAGGGAGCTGGCGCCACGAGGCCGGGCGGGCCTCACGGGGCTGCCTGGCACTGTGCCCCCTCAGTGACCCTGCCAGAGCCAGGTGGGGTGGGGCGGCTGCTGCAGAAAGCCAGGAGGCAGGGGAGAGAGGCCCCTCCGGCATCTCAGGGGCCCTCCCTAGGCAGCAGTAGCAGCTGCAGCATCAAGACTAGTGCTTACACAGCACCTACTGGGTGCCAGGCCTTGGGCCAAGCCCTGGACACTGCGCATTCCCACAGCAATTCTATAAGGCGGTCACTATCATTATTCCCATTTTGCAGAGGAGGAAACTGAGGCCCAGAACAGTTAAGCGACTTGCCCATGGTCACACAGCCTGTGAGTGATGGGGCTGGGTGTGAACCAGGCATCCTTGCTCCCGCATCCCTCTCTGAACCACCCCCAGCACTGCTCACAGCTCCACAGACACAGGGCAGCTACGCATGGCTCCCTGCTCCACGCCCCTCCCAGGCCGGGCACCCACGGGGCAGAGATGGAGCCATGTACACCGGCTGGGGGTCTGGTTCCAGTCTGCTCCCACCAAGGGACACTGAAGCCGGCAGAGGCCAGGGGATCTGTGTGTCCTGTCCACTGCTGTCCCAAAAGCCAGCACAGGGCCCCACATTCCACCCCCACCAACCAACTCAAATGTCGGCCAGGCAGTGAGAGAGGTGGGGATTCAGGGAAGGAACAGGGAGAAATTCCTGCCCGTGAGGGGCCCGCATTCTAGCAGGGGAGCAGACAACACACTGCGCCCTGCTAACCAAGGGAAAGCCGGAGTGAACAACTGGGAGAAAACCAGACAGCGAGATAAAGCGTGTCTGAGGGCCGGAGAGCTAGGGTGGGCCTGGTCGGGCTGTGGGTGAGGGCCACGAGAGCGAGAGGGGGCAGGGCGGGGAAAGGATTCCAGGCAGAGGGAGCAGGAAGGTCGAAGACCTGGACAGAGGCGTAAACCTACAGCATTGAGAACAGCAAACAGGCCAGCGTGGCTGGGCCGCCGGGAAGGACGGGGAGAGCAGCAGGAATAGGTGGGAGCGACTGAGGCCCACGATGAGAACTTGGGGTTTCAAGTACAGACAACACCCAACTTTGTACAGGGTACCACCCAAGGACGCCCTCCCCAGCCAGAAGCCCGTCAGACTCCCTTGGACTCTGGGCCACCCACAAACACCCCATCCCATAGGCCCGTGGGAACCTCTCCTCCCAGATCACTCCCTTCCACCGAGGCCAAACAGACAATCCGCTCCTGCCCAGGGAGCGGCCCCGCCTTGCCCGGCCCCCTGCTTCCAGGAACAGACCTCCGCGATCCACAATGTGGCGACCAGGGGCAGGAGCCCTGGAACTACCCAGAGCCAGCTTGGGCCCTGCCTCTGTCACTCAGCAGACGCTCTCTGAGCCTCCCTTTTTCTGCCTGTAAAGCGGGTCTGTCTAGCACCCACTTCACAAGATTGTGGGATGATAAGACCAGGCACACAGGGCGCTGAGCACAGAGTCAGCCCTCGTTAAATATTAACTAACATTATGATTACTTGCAAGGCAGCAGAGCACAGAACTCTGGGCCCAGAACTCCCGAGTTCAAATCCCAGCTGCACAACTTACTCATGAGGTGACCCTGGGCACATCACTGCGCCTCTTAACAATGGCACCGACCCCACAGAGCTGTGGTCAGGATTAAATATACGTAAAACGTGTAAAACAGGGCCTGACACATAGTAAGTGCCCCCTGCCCCATCAACATGTCCCACTTGGGTCCTAACTTCTGACCCCGGGGAGCATCATCCGTCCGGCCATCAGATTCTGATCTTTGCCCCCGTGGCCACGCCCCACCGCTGATCCCATAAAAGATGCCCCCCAACCTAAGTCTCATTCACCTGCTCCGCTGGCTGCTGCCTTCAACCTCCAACCCGCCGCCCCCAATGGCTGTGTCCTCTGACCCTCGTAGGCGCATCCTGCCCTCAAATTATTAATTTTGACCCCCCTTTCTAGACACTCGTCGTGACCCGCTCGAACGCACCCCAACTTCAAATTTCGAACTCTGCGCTCCCCTTCGCCACACCCCCTCCGCGAGTTTGACCTCTGACTTCCTCTACACCTCCCTCCTCCCCAGCGTTGACCTCCGACCCCTCGGACGCGACCCTTCCCTCCACGAGTGAACTTTGACCCGAGCGGCCCCGCCCCCGACTTGCGTGAAAGCTCTCCCACCGCCATAGCCCGGCGCGCCGCAAGCCCCCGGCCGGACCGCTTATCCTACCGGCTCGGCGCCGCAGTCGCTCGCGGCCTCGCTGCTCGGCCCGGAACTCGGCGCCCTCGCGCCGCCCTCAGCTCTCTGGCGCCGCCGCCACCGCGGCCACTGCCGCCGCCATGTTGAATCCCCAACGAACATCCGGGGCTTTCCCCCCTCGCCGCCCACCAGTCCCCATAGCAACGGGGCTGCCCGCGCAGGGGGCAGGGCCTGTCCGGGGGCGGAGCTTGGCGCACGCGAGCGCCCGCTCCAGCCTCTGATTGGTGCAGAGGGTCCAATCAGCGACCTCGGGGCGGAAAATGCCAAGCGGGGATTGGAAAATTTGGAAAGGGTGCAGGGAGGCTGGCTCCCGGCCCAGTGGGGTTCTTAAAGGGGAAATAACCATCGTCTTGTAACAGTCTTTCCCACCTTCCCCCAACAGGAGTTGGGGAGGTGGAAGGCGATAAATGGGTAATGATGGCCAGAAACAGTTCTTAAGCACTTACGGTGTGCCAGACACCCGGCCAAGTGCTTTACTTGCATTGTCTCCCTGAATACTCACCATAACCCTATTGTATTAATACCCATTTTTCAGATAAAGAAACTGAGGCTCAGAGGGGCGAACTACCTGGTTCAGGATCACCGGAAGTAGATAATGAGTTTTGAAATACAGTCTCTCTGCGTCCGGGAACTTGACCCGGAACCAAGACCCTATTTAATCTTCATCTTTTTTGTAAGTTTTTAAAAAGTAACTTATCAAAAAAATTGGAAAATACCAAAAAAACCCATATACTACTAAACTCGGACATCTTCCATGATTTCACTCACTGGGCTCCAGCCATCTTGCTCTTCCAGAAAAATATCAAGGGCTCTCCCTCCTCAAGGTCTTTGCATTGGCTGTTCCTTCTGTCTGGAATAGGCTCTTCCCCCAGGCATCCTCATGGCTCCCTCCCTCCCCTCCTTCAGGCATTTACTACTCAAATGTCGCCTTATCAGCGGGACTGTGCCCGCCCACCCTAATTAAAGCAGCACACATCCCTCTCACGGGCGACTAAACCCCTTCCCTGGTCTGCTTTTTCTTATTTTCAGTTGCTCAGGTCGCCTTCTAACAGACTAGATAACTAGCTAATTGTGGTATTGGTTTTGGTTCTCTCCCCGCCAGAGTGTCACCTCCACGGTGGACTTACGCCTGTTTTGTTCACTGCGCATGCCCAGTGTCCTGGCACTCTTGGCATATAGATGCTTAATAAACATCTGTTGAATGGATGGTTGATGAGTCGTAACTTCACCCCCTCAGAGACATTCTTAAATATTTAGTGCGTCCCCTCTGACCCTGCACAGTGTCTGGCACATAGTAGGCATTTAATTAATGCCTGTGGAAGCAAATGAATGAATGATCACATGATGGGTAATTTTTTTCTGTACATTTACCTACTTTTTTTTTTTTAACGGAATCGGAGACACACATTTATAAAGAACTTTGTATCTTTTCAAAACAAGATTATAAATATCACCGTATCTTTCCATGTCATCAAGTATTCTTCACGAACATTAATTTTAATGGCTGCATAAGATGCCATCTTGTCAATAAACTCTAATTTTTTAAACACCCTTTCTTGTTGAACATCTAAGCTGTGATATTTTACTATTATAAATAATTCCCCCCCCCCAAAATCCAAGCGGATAAATATTTGTGCACATGTCTAATTCTTTCCTTGGAATAGATTACTACAAATGGAACAGCTGGGTCAAAGGAAATGTACATCTTTAAGATTTAAAAATAGTAACAGTTCCCACGTTTCAAGCGTTTCTAGGCACCATGCATGATGCTAAGCCGTGTAATTTTAACGACGGAGGCTACGATTATCCCTGCGTCGCAGAGGAGGAAACTGAGGCTTAGAGAAGTACCTTCATTTGCTCCAAGTCGCACACGCTGATGGGGCGGGGCCCGGGCTAGGGCTCTCGCTACCTGCCCTCTGCTGCCTCCCCACGGCCGGGGACGCACATTGCCAAATACAGGGACCCAATTCACACTGCCACCAGCGTTCAGAGGGAAGACGCCCTTTAAACTATCCTCGCCGGCATTAATCATTCTTGGTTTTGGTGCTCTTTTGAAATCTTTATGCCTTACACAGTCTCCATTTTAAAAAAAGCGAGTCTAGTATCTGAGATGACTGCACTTTATTCAGGTCACAGTAAAGGAAGGAGGGCCAGATACAGCCTTTGTCTCTTTAACGCCCTGCACAAATTGCAGGGCGTTGGGCTCTAGAACCTACGTGTGGGGAAGCCCTTTTGTAACTTTATTGGGGGTCTCAGTCAGAGATCAGACCCCGGGAACAAGCCTAGTGGCAGACCTGCTGCAAGGGCTTCCTCGGGATGGGCAATCAGGACCTCCTACTTTGGGACCCCGGGAGAGGAAATCAGACAAAAGAGAATCCTACAGAGGGCTTCCTGGAAAGGATGGTGAGGAGATGACCCCCAATAGATGGAAACAAGTGAGGAGAGTGAGGAGGATTTGGCCTCATAAAAATGATAAATTTCAGTACATCAAGGAAAAAGATAACTGGCAACATATAGATGGCAAGCAAAGCTCTCTGTCCTTCATATGTAAAGAGCATTTACAAATCAACAAGAAGGGTGAACATACACAGAAAAATAAACAAAAGACATGAACAAAAATTAAAAATACAGACAATAAACAAGAAAAATGGAATTGATGAACAAGAAATTAGTGAAATGGATATTAAACTATTAAACAGATCCCTTTCTTCCTTTTGGTGTCTCAGAAAAATATTTTTTTAATATTATAATCAGTGCTATGAGAATACAAGATAACAGCCACTCTCCTATGCCACTTATAGGACTGTGATCTGGGGCAGGCTTTTGGCAATATCCATCCAGAGACTTAGCAGTGCCGTCTACCCTCTGTACAGCAATTCTACTTCTAGGAATTGTTCTTAAAGGGAAAGAAAGAAACCAGATATTATTTAATCCTCACCACTTATCTAGAAGATGGGATTCTTAGCCCCATTTAACAGATGAGGAAACTGAGGCTTGAGAAGAGGGTGGGAAGCGGAACAAAGTCCCACCACTTGTAAGCAGCTTTGCTGGAATTTTAACCAGGAAGTCTGACTTCAAAGCTGATACTCTTAAAGACTGCTCAAATTCATTCACTAGATATATTCATCTGCGTGCCAAGCATGTTGAATAATAACCTTAAACATTTATTGACCATCTTCTATATAATATGCAGGCCCTGGGCTAAGTACTTGACATATACTACCTCATTTAATCCCCACACCACCTTATGTGCTATTGTTATCCTCATCCTACAAATGTGCAAACAGAGGCACAGAGAAGTTAAGTAACTTCTCCAAAGTCACACAGGCAGCCTGGCTTCAGTCTAGGCTTCTAACCATTTCTCTTCTTTTTCGGAGAACAAATGCTTGAGAGAGAGAAAATAAACACACAGACAAACAAAGAATACAAAATAAGGTGATGAGCAAAGCTTGAAACGTGTCACGGAATACATCTATCGAAAGAATGCGGAAGACGCAGGACCCAGCCATCCCGCTCCTAGGTGTTTACTGGGGAGAAATGAAAACACATTCACACAGCGACTTGTACAGGAACGTTCACAGCAGTGGTTTTGATAACCACGGAAAACGGGAAACAACCCAGAATGTCTATCCGGTGGCAACAGACAAATACATTGCGGCACATGCAGCCCCTGGCCCACTCGCTACTCGGCAATAAAAAGGAAGGAGTAATTGACGAGCAGCACCGCACGGCCGAATCGCAAGCGTGTTAGGCTGGGTGGCAGGAGCCAGTCTCCAAGGCTGCATAGCACGTGGTTCCACTGACAGCGGTCCGGGAAAGGTAAATCTAACCTGTAGTGCCCGGCAGCAGATTCGTTGTCGCCCTAAGCTGGGGGACACAGGGAGGGCTGGAACCTTCAGGGGCTGGAAATGTTCCGCGTCTTGATTTTGGTGGCAGTCTCATGGGAATACATCTCTGTCAAAACTCATCAAATTGTACACTTTTAAAAGGGTCCAGTTAATTGTATTGTTACATCTCAATGCAATTATATTGAAAAGTTTTTTAAAGGCAGTAGAATGAGGGATGGCCTGCAGTTAATAATAACGTATCAGTATTGGTTCACTAGCGGTAATAAATGTACCGTATTAAAGTAAGATCTTAATAATAAGGGAAGCTGGGCGTGGAGTTTATGAGAAGTCTGTATTATCTTTGCCGTTTTTCTGTAAATCTAAAACTGTTCCAAAATATAAAGTTTATTTTTAAAAATGAAAAAAAAAAAAAACCCAGCCTGGAGATGATATTATGCTCATGTTAATTTATGCGGGAAAGAAAAACAGGTTACAAACCCATCCGTATCACATGCTAGTATTTTCATTAAAAAAGAAAAATCAGGGGTTATGAGGAAAAATATTAAAAGTTCGAAGCTGTTGGGAACAAGACAGCTGGGAAATTTCTGGTTCCACTTTATTCTTTTTATTTTTTTTTAACAATGAGTGTGTTACTTTTGCCCCGGAAGTCAAATAAGGATGTTATCATTTTTTAAATTTGCTGAAAAGAAGCAGCAAACTTCTTTGCTGCTTTAATAGGGGAGGGAGGTCTGGAAAGGGAGGAAGGGGCAGAGATGAGGGGCCGCCGCCCAGGGAGTCGGGACCCCATATGAGAGAGGCCCCGGCAGAACTCACAGAGCATCCTGTCTCCTCACGCGTGAGTGCGGGGTCCGAAAGGAAATTTTGCCCTCTCCATGTCCTCCGTCCTCATCTCCCTCCGCATTCTCCCTTGCTCATTCCTAGGGTTGCAATAAAAATTGAGCCAATAAGAATATAGGATGGCCAGTTAAAATTGAATTTCAGACACACCTCGAGTCATTTTTTAGTATAAGTATAACCCATGCAGTATTTGTGACGTACTTACACTAAAAATTTATTTATTATTCATCTGAAATTCAAATTTAACTGGGCATCATGGATTTTATCTGGCAATTGTACTCACTCCACACCAGCCACGCTGGCCTCATGGCTATTTCTCAAACACACAGGCTCTGTCCTGCCTCAGGGCCTTTGCACCTGCTGGTCCATCTGCCTGGATCACTCTTCTAGGTCTCTGCTTTGACTGGTTCCCTGTCCTTTGGCTCAAGTGTCACCTCCTCAGAGAGGACTTCTCTGGGCACCATATCTAAAGCACCTTTACCATCCCCCACTCTAGTGCCAGTTTTCTCCACGGTGCCAATCACCATCTAGAATTATCACGCAATAGCATTTTTGTTTTCATGGTTTCTTCTCTACCTCCCACAGTAGAATGTAAGCTTCACAAGGGCAGAAATGTCATCCTGGCCACCACGGTATCTCCAGCGCTCGGAGGATAGTAGGGGCATAGTTCCTTCATGCTTCTCCATTGCAATCAACAGAGGCCATTTCTGGCTGATGTGAGCAATGGAGGACTTTAGTAAATAAACATTTGTTAAGGAATGAAATCCAGAGGCCAGCAGCTGCCTCCTTCTGCTCCCTCCACCGACCCCCAGCCGTCCCACGAGCTCTCCCCTGCGCCCCGCTGCCCTTGCTGGGAGCGCTCACCCCCAGCCTGCCAAGCGGGTGTCCGTGTGGCCTCCACAAGCCTCGCTCAGCTTTGCCTCCCAGAAGCCTCAGGGGCTCTGTGCCACTTCAGGGTCCCCACTGCAACCTGTCACTTCCTGTGTGTGTCACAAGTGTCACAATCAGCCCTACGTGCCTGTCCCCTGTATACTGGCGGTGGGAGCCCCAAGGGCTGGGCCTTTCCTTATCTGATTCACCTGATCCTTGTCATTCCTACTGTTTGTCACCTGTTCCCTCGGCCCCACCTGCCGTGTTAAGCATTTTACCTGTATTTCCCCTCCTTCCCTCATTCATTCGACCTGTGTTTATTGAGCAACTACTATGTAGCGGGTACTGGGGCTACAGGGGTGAACAGAACTGGGGGAAACCCTGCGCCCCAGGAGCTCCCATTCTGAGGGAGGAGACAACGAATAAATAACGGCACATGTCTATACAGTAGGTCACACAGTCGGGGTGCTCTTGAGGAAAATAAAGCAGGGAGAGCGG